ATAAGCAATAAGTAATAGTTATATCTATCATGTATTCATATTTTATACGAAAGCATGAATAAATTATTATTATGTGGACAATATTCCAACATAAATTTTAAGATTCTATAGAATATTTACGGAATACCAGTTTTCGGGGGAACAAAAAATTGTTCGTTWATAAATTCATTAAAGAATCACAATATAAATTTGAAAACTTCTCTAAATCTTTATGCCATGATAAAATTATAAATATATCTAAACTAATTTTTAACTGTAGACATTTAGTTTTTTTTTGGATCTATTCTGATAGAGTTTACTTCTAGYGAAAAAAGGTTGAGCATTATAATGTAAGGTTCTTTATAAAAACTTCTTACCGAAGTTTTAAAATAATGAACGCACAGTTAATTTTTCTATGGAATTTGTAGATAACATTTTATAAAATTGGTTATTAAAATAATCACTTTTCTAGTTGTTTTGTTGCTGTTAAAAAATGTATTATTATTTGTAAAGACTTGAAACTTTTTGTAATTATAAATTAGGTATAATATTATTTTCTATATATTGTATATATATATTTATTTAATTTTAACAAGAAATATACAATCTGTACCCTTGGGCACAATAAAAATATGTGATATAATATTTTACACAATGATATATATATATATATATAAAAAAAAATTTAGTCAAAATTAAATCTATCTATAATACCATGAACATATTCTCAGCACCATTATTATTGACTTATGAGTTAATCTTAATAAGTAATAACAATAATAAGTACCTATATCAATTTATTATAAATATGATCACATATTATAATAATAATTAATACAACTATATATTTACTATATTTTTGGTGAAAAAAAGTTGATCGTCCTATGTTATTTATATTTTTATTTAAAAACTAGTATTTTTTCTTATAATGTTTAGATTTAAAAAACATTGTCACTTTAAAAATTGTTTTCAACAACTTTTGAAAACAGTGATCTGTGTAAGTGGCATTCACTTTAAATTCCGAACCCCGAGGAAAAATTTGTATTTTAAACTCTTTAAAGTTTATAAAATATCAAGTTCATAATATATTTTTTTTATTATTAAGTTCTTTTATATGTAAAAAATATTTTAAGTATGAAAAACAAAAATTTAATAATTAAAAAAAATATAGTATATTTGGAGATTCCATGTTACACCGGTTATATTATTTCTTTTTWCGGAAACGTATTTATACTTTAAATGTAAATCAAATACTATTCAAACTATTTGTTATTGGACTATTCACAGAACAAACCCRTTAGAATAACCGATGAAAATCTCAACCAAGTTCCATACAGTTTTTTTTTATTTAATAACAACAATTATTTTTCTCATTCAAAAAATATCTTAATATTAACCTGAAAAAATCTATATCAATTTATAAATTCAATGATATAAGTTGAATAAATTAACTTAACAAAAAGCTTATTACAGCTYATGTATTATTTTTTTAATGAAAATTATTATCATTATTTTTATTGCTTATATATTTATACTCGTTTAGTATAATTTATTACAGTTGTACCAAAGTATATATTAGCTAACGTAGAAAAAATATCCAAATCTAAATTCATTAAACCAGCAAACTAATTTTTTTTTAAATTCAAAAGCCATTTTGTTGTTTATAAAAATATCGGACACGATATTTTATTTATCCTTTATCAATCATCAAATAATCATAATATTACAATATACATATACAATATATATTATATATGTTTAAAATGTATTTTTATCCTAAATAATATATTAAATAGTGGCGTCCGCAGGGAGGGGGGCTAACGGGCTGAAGCCCCCCATCCATTACCCGTATTATTGTTTTTTGTTTTTATATTTACCTCGATTTATTATAGTTTCCTAAATCGTGTGTTTACTTATTTATTGCAAATAATGCAAACTGTATTGTCCTAAACTGGCTAAACTTTTAAGAGCTAAGGATCATAGATACTATTTTTATACATTCCATAGTCGTAGTCATGTTTAAAGATACTATGTTTAGCCATGCCACAGTCCATATAAATCTATAATCTATGATAACAATTGAACTGATGTTAGCAACTCTATCCGTTTATCCAAGCATCGTTGTTCCGATGGCTGGATAGTTCAACTGTTAAACCTGTGGCAACTGAGTAATTATTTATTTTCAAGCCMCTTTCCTCCCACTCCCCATTGAAAAATCCTGTGTACGCAACTGTATAGATATGTAATAATTATGTTATAAAATTCAGAAACATTATCGATAAACTTAAGTTCTATATAAGTATGACGTTTTAAATTACTTTTGAACCTACTGTAAACTACCTACGTAGTACCTATTGYAATTTTTGCAGGTATATTAAATATTACAAATACGTATCTGATAAACGTTTTATTCATTGAATTTTATAATATAGTTAGGTAAAATGTGTATATTTCATAAGTTTTTGGCACTATAAACAGGATATAATAGTGCACAAATACATCATAAATGTTGATCCTTCACTATACAGTATATATATTATATATGTGTGTATATAATATAGTCTATTTAAATTATATTATTATGTCTATACATTATACAATCATAAACCATAGAATGTACAATTTACAAATTACCAAACACACATTCTTATATTATATCAAAAATAATAACAAAATATTCGCAAAATATTGTTGGTATTCACCAATTAATGGGTACCAATTTAAAATTAAAATTAAATTCAACATATACTTATATAATTTTAAATWATTTTAAAAATTTCCTTTATTTATAAAACCATTCWGGTCGAAAATACAACATAAGTAGTTATGTTGTATACCTGTTTTTAAATTTAATATCACCCTGCTATACGTTCACCCACATACATTATTTGTAATTGCCGTTATACATTACTCTACCGAAACCATTTTTCTCTTCTCTGCAAGGTTTAGTATAGTAAAAGTCCTTTAATAGACTGTCATAGCATATTAAGCTAAATTTATAATGCCTTTACGTACATGTAATATTAACTATAAACTGGAGCGCAGCGACCTGCAATCTTCTAGTATTAGTAATAAAAGATGAGGTAGGTGTAGTGATATTGATTTGAAATTCCATGTCAGAAACCAAAACTCAATACAAAATGCTGAAACTATAAATTATTAATATAGGTACCTTGTTCTTTTTTTTTTATTAATATTTTATATCCTTAGTGGCATAAGCCATTGGACGAATATAATTATATTACATTGTAATGCATATTTTAATACGAATAAAAAAAATATAACTAAACAAATTTTTTATTTTGTTGAGTGCTAAATATGAATTAAAAGTGGTACAAATTTATTGAGGATGGTTGAGTTATTCAGTATTTGATCGGATATGTCTTATAGTTAAATTATCGAAGACCAAGCATTGTTTATGGCTTAAGATTTTTACCWCAAAAAAGTAARCACTACCACCCTCACCGATTTAACTATAATATTTAAGTTCTGGTCGTTATATGTAAAGCGTCAAACTTATTTAAGTAATTATTTTCTTTAAAAAATATTAAGAACATTTAATAAAAGTAGTATTAGTGACTAGTGTACTACTTTATAATTTATAAAATAATATGATGCATATTTCAATAATGAACGGCGCAAATAGATGCAAAACATTTTGTAGTTGGGTATTGGTGAGCGTTATATTATACGAGGTTAGTGTACTTCTTATTTCTTTTGATTTACGCGTTACAAATATAATATCGATGGGACATAAAACATTTGTATAAGATTTGAATGTTAAATAATTAAATTTTCCTGTTTTAGTTTCGAAATTCATGTTTAGGAATACGTATTTTGTTTTGGTTCGTTTAACTGCCACTCGTCAAACAAGAAGCGTTTGTAGATGGTCGAATTAGTATAAAGGGGCGATTACAATGTGTCCGTATTCGGTGTGAATCATGTGGTTAATCCGTTATCATCATTATTTAACAAATAGTCTAAAACATTCAACTATTGCACCGTGTGAGTTATAATAGCCTATAAATAATATAGTAAGTTATATGTATATATATAACTTATAKGCGATTATACAAATGTCGTTAATAATGACTCCCTTTATGGTGAAATCGTTTTACCTATATACGGTTTCAGTTAATTTGTTGTTTAAAGAAAAATTCTTAACACGGATACACGGAAAACAGCGTAGTAGCTCCCCTTAAGCGTTTTGCGCGGGAACCCAATATTTTTTCCCCTCGTTTCGTCGCGTCGAATTAACCACAGTTTGGCGCCGAACCTCGGCCATAAGATATAATCAATTTAATAATTGTTGAAATGCGTGTACGGGAGCAATATATAAAAAATCGTGAAACCATTTGCGGGGCACTACATATATATATCAATAACGATTTTACAGCCGCCAAATTATGCGCGCGGTAGTATATACTACCAACTAATATACACACAATCTGGTTAGGTATTATATTCAGACATATCGAAATACTTTAACTATTTTAAGTATTATATTATACATACACTCACGGGTTAAAATTTAAATAATAATAATGATAATAATATATTCTACATATCGTTCATATATAAAATAATGTGTGATTTTTAACGGGTCTGTTTCCGTTGCAGGTTCTGAAAAAAAAATTGTCTGGAAAACGGGACGAYCGGCGACGGCGGCAGATCCACGCTGCCTGCACCGGTACGACACCGGTCGACGAGCTGCTTTATTACGACAACGAGGCTGTCGACAATATGATCAACGAATTCATCGACAACAGGCAGAAAMCCACTGTCTGCAGTCACCAGACACGAGAGAAACCATCACGCACAAAAATACAATTATTATAATACTTCGTGTGCATATGCCTATATAATGTAGGTATACGCACGCATCGCCATTTATTATTATATTTATATAATATTTTGACATTTATACAATAATCGTGTGTGCGACGGCGAATTTACGATTCGACTGCTCGAAATGATAATAATAATAAACATCAATATCGAATATACGTTGCCAGACTTACCCACGACGGAGATTTTTGACGATTTTTTCCACCGACGGACGACGGACTGTCTGCCTTCCTGCCTCACGCTACCTGCACTGTCATACCGTGCGGATGAGATCGCACTGCACGCGACGCAGACACACCACAATCGAACTGGCGCGAGTTGGCCCAAGCGTTGAGCGTTCCAACCGGAGACGGCGTTACTACTGGTGGCGGTACGCTGGTAGTGCGGCGCGACTGCTGTGGCGGTCGCGGCGTCGGTCGATAATCGAATAAGTTTATAGTGTCCGTGGGCGACCGGCCGACTGCCGCCGCCGCCGCCGCCCGACATGCGCCTTGAAGACCGGCAGACAAACGCGCATGTCAGCATGTGACGCCGCGCGCGCGGCATACCTGAACATAATATTATAACACTACGGCAACAAAATACCCGCCGGTGACGCGTGAAAAGTTTACTACCACTTCTCCTCTCGTCGTCCATGACGTTTGTTGTTTCCCAAAAACCATCGGTGTGAATGAGCGGGCGGAAAATTAACCACAGCACCGATACAACCGCGTAAACGACATCACGTGACCTTTGAACGTCACCGTGGTCAATCGCGCGATTCGCTACCGCGGTAGTATGCGTGCCAATCTATGATACCTGTTATTCCATTAGACATTTAGATATTCTGTATACGTATAATAAAACCTATAAATCCTTATTATATGTACGTAGTCCTCATGTATTATAAATCATCGTGTACATTAACATAAAAGTTGCGTTGTATAATTATATTATTATGTTTACTTGATGAACATTAGAAAGTCATTGGCTATTTTTGTATTCATAGATTTAAAGCCAGAGATGGTATATATTACCTACAATTTTAAAGAACGATGTTTTTGTTCAAATTTAAAACTCAATTTAAAGTATATACTTGAAACTTTGTAAGTAGGTACTCAACATACCAATAAATGTATCATATTACTGAAATATTCATTAGTATAGTACAACGAAACCTTATGAAATGTTTTAAACTTTCTCAAAGTGTATCATATGATAACTTGTACATTGACATTATTATCTTCTTGAAAAATAAATGTATATAATAATATTATTACGATCTTCCTCARACGACTAAATTGCCTGAAAACATCAACACACATTGTTAATAAAATTAATCATGTTCTACTTGTTCTAGACATATATTAATGATATAGTGATTCAATAATGTATTTGTCACTAATCTTTGATAATTATTAATTTAAGTTCAGAATACATAATACAACTTTAGAACATATTAAATATTTGTTTTAATATTAAGTATTTGTATTACTGTTAATTTCATGGCTCTATGTTTATCATGTATAATGATTTATTTTTAATCTGAGCAGCAATCTTTATTTATTCTTAGGTAAAAAAAGAAATCAGACAAAATAAAAACTATTTTATTAATAATTACACTTTACCTGAGTGTATTAACTGTTGAAATAATTTAACTATTGATGTTTTTGCAGTCCCTATTGCAATAAATAAATATTGCAAACATATTATAAATATATGCATATGCATAAACATCTGATTTTTATAGTGGGAGATATTTTGAATCAGAATTTTGAAAAAAAAATATGTGGTGGGATATTTTTCATGGAATATATTCACAGTAATCTAAACCAAATATATTTTTTGTTATTATTAGATCACTTCCTTTGAAAGGGACTGATTTCCCAACTTGTTTTATAAGGCGTACTCGATAGGCAATTACTTTAACGCGTGTAGTTACGTACTGCAATCACAGAATATATATAATGTTATATATATATTACACAATATGTATTTATATATACAATGTTGTGTGAGGTACTGAACAAYGATCATTAATAACATTATATGACCAATRTAGTTGAGGCCTTGTATTTATAAAAAACAATGTATATATTATACTATGTGAGTGGATTTAGCACCAACACCACCCGCATGATGCACTGTATTTAATAAGATATTATAATATTTTGTTCCTACATTAAAAACTAATTTACATATAAAAGCTTAACAAAAATTCAACTGGAATGATTGTATTTTTATTCTATTAAAATATTTGTGCATGTTGGACTTTTATTAGGTTATTGTTGATTAAAACTATTTTTTTTATATAAAAAAAAAATGCAGAAGTAAATACCTAATAAAAATTTAGGTATGTTCTATCATGATATGGTATTCTAAATTTAGAAATCATTACAGTGAAATAATTTTAGTATTTAGAAATAATCTTCAATAATTACAATACAATTGTAAACTATAAAAATATAAACAATGCTAACTGTTTATAAGGCACTATATTTCAACAATGATAGTTCTATACATTTTCTTAGTGCAAAAAATGCACTGGTCCATACAAAAAAAAAATAACATATTAAGCATAATAATAAGAGATATAAAAAATAGACAATAAAAAATAAAAATATCCTAGTTGTTTAAAAAATAATAATATAAATTATTATCAGAATATAATATATATATATATATATTAAATATATATGTTTACATGTAAATATAAATCTTGGTAACCAATAATATTATTATTCTAAACATATAAAATGTCGTTTTATGCTTTATACAATATTGGAAGTTCATTAATAATAATAATAATAATAATAATATATATATATATACTATGCACAACATGTATTAAAAAGGTAAACATATACAAAGATATCCTATTCAAGATAAATTCATTGATTACAAAAGGCACTTACATTTTAGAGAATATTACAATTAGAGATCAAAAAAGGGAGTGCATTCATGTGTGTATTGCACTTACAAAATCACCAATCAATGTATTGTTCTTGTACATAGTTGTCGCAAACAAAATTACGACTCTTATGAAAATAATAATACTGTATATCTATAATAATTATTAATTAACATTTTTATTTTTTTCATTTACACATCTATGATTTTTATGATTTTGATCTAGAGAGTAAAGTAGTAAACCCTCACTATCAATAACATTAATTATACACTACATCTATCCCAGTACATTTCGATTTCAAATTATTGATATTCGTGTTCATTCACAAAAATAATAAAACTAAATAATAACGATAATGAATCACGCTAATACATAAAGTATAATTTACATTGAATCTTATATATATATATATGTATAGTATATAAAATAATTTACAAGTCCTTAGGAAAATTTGGTCCTCTTCAATTTCAAAGTTCACTGGCAAATACGGCATTTGCTGGCGTCAACGCGAATTACCCTTCACTCGAAATTTGTTCGAGTCACTCGATAATAATATTGTAGTAGTTATCACAATAATAATAACAATAGTAATAATATTACAACATAAAATCAATATATTATATATCTGCGTGTGTAACATTTAAGTTTTAACAACGCACGATAAAAACGTGTTGCGGATTATAACGCGTCCGAAGTGTATCGTACCATATATAATATAAAATACGTTATATCTACTAATACTAATAATAATAATTGTCAATAATAAGCTCATTTAATAATCATAAGGAATGAGTCATATCACGTTAGATGATTTTGCTGACAACATTCGTAAACGGTAATGGACGTTGGTTGACTTAGGTACCCGGCGAAAGAGTCTATGCGAATTGCTGCTCCATAAGCATATTATAATATAAGCACAGTATAATATCATACAAACATGGTTATTTATATATTATATTATTTAACTGCCGTTTTGATTAAGTTTGAGATCTTTTATTCACCTTGTCCGACCGTACCGAAAATGATGATGATGATAATAATAATAATAATAATAATAACAACATAATATTGTACGCTGTACGCACACATTGCGCACAAGTCGTTGAAATCAGTCACTGTATTTCGCCATCGGGCCAAATCCGGTCCGCCGGCAAAACGGAACCGGAAGCGGCGGTCGTGGCCGTCTCGTCCGTCCGCCGTACGCACGCTTATTATATGTACGTTTTCTTRACCTTTTGCAGGGTCTTGTTTTCGACCGCCGAGTCCAAGTTCTTCTCGAGCGTATCGTTCTTGCACTTGGTCACGTTCACCAGCAGGTTGATTGGCGCTTTGTTGTTGGGACATGGCAGGAACGGCGCGGTGCCGATCTCCGCTGCCCCGTTCATATCGGCCAGTCGGTTAAGCTGGTGATGGGCGTGAACGGCCATCGACGAAAACGGATCGGCGGCGTGCCGAAAGTACCGCGAGCACACGAAACCGGCAGCGAACCCGACGAGCAGCGTGGCCAGCACGCACATCATCATCAGCAGCCCGATGACATCGCCCAGCGAGATTACGGGCATTTCGGTCACCTTGTCGCTGACGCCTGTGCACGGGTAAAAGAATAATACTATTATTAGAAAATGTCGAAGAGACAACGACGACTGTTATTGTTATTATCGTATAGAATTATGATTATGTTARTTAATGGTTAGACGTGAACACGATGAAACTCACTGTCGCTGTTGATTACGTTCTCGGTGTAGCAGGGCGCGCACGACGGACACCTAGGCACGTTCGAGTCGATGTTGTTATCTGTGTACAACATGTAAGACGAGGAAAATATTAACGATAATCTTCTTAGGTAAATAAAATAATATTTATGAAGACAGTTTGATATTATATAATAATAAAGTTCTATAAAATTTTAAGCGGTCAACTTACCGTCTAATGACGAAGAATGTACGATATTGTCATCGAAAGGCACTGCAAAACAGAAAAAGATGGAAGAGGTATTATAATCACATAAATTCGGTAACATATCCTATTTTTTTTATAAACGTATTCTATATAATAAATTATACATTATGATATTGTGGTAATGTACTACATATATACCTTTAGGGCAAACATTGTACTGAGACGATCCAATGGACTGAACGAAATACTGTTTGGACATACTCTTGATTTCCAAATGGTTAACACAATGCGACCCGTCCCACGCGCAGTATGGATCTTGTAGGTCAATACATTCTCTGTGGACAATCAAGTTGTTAAATCTCTATTGCTTATCCAATRTTATAAAGTTATAATCATTATTATCGCATGCTCACTGGCAAGTCGTCTTCAGATAGCACCGGTCCAGTGGCACAGAGATGATGTGTTGATCGAATGTGACCACTATACGCCCGGGCTTGCCATCGACTGACTTGATGATGTTCAATGTCCGGACCGGAAGCGACTTCGTGTTGTTAGAGGTGAGATTAACTTCTTCGATGTTGATGAATTCAGGCAAACCGTTGTTGGTGTGCAATGCGCCTTTGACCAACCTCCCGTCGTCTGCAAACATACATAGAGGTTAATTTAGGTTATGACGTATTATACAAAGTCTTATTATATAAGTCAATTACGAATTATATTTCAACATTATATAATATACATTATATATACACTGTGAAAATCGTAACTTAAGCATTAACGTACCAGTTCCCATAAACAGAATGTCGTAGTACTGTCCTTTCAGGCCGGAAATCTGATTGTCCACCGCGATGCTGGTCAATCTAGACTGTAGTGATATCCGAGTGAAAATCGGTTTGGAGAACAACGACGGTACCGCACCGTCCATCAGCGAATGGCTCTTGATGAAATTCACTGTTATGTCCGGCAATGTCCGACTGTCATCTACGCATGTCCCTGGTCGGGGTTCGGGGATCTATAAAAAAAATTATGTTAAAGTATTTGAATGAGTATATTTTACACAAAGACTGCATGATGATATACATATAAACGTGTAGTGATAATCTAAAGAGCAAAAAGATTAAATAATCGAGGTGGGTAGATCATGATAATCATAAATCATAAAAAAAAAATAGATAAGAGTGTAAGACTGTAAGAGTAATATCTAACTAATTCCATCGCCTAAATTTCCGGAAATGGTTGGAATAATCATATATTATATATAGCATATGCAAGGGTATAGATAACGAAACAACTATGATTTGTTACTACTATTTTTATCATTATATGGGTGTGATGCAGCGGTTATAAACGAGCCATACCTTTTTCACTGGCAACCAGTTGGAGTCCATAGCTTCCTGGTCTTTGAATGAACCCATGAAAGTCTCGATGACATCRCTAATATTGAACATGCACACAGCCGAGCCACTGATGGCGTTCACGGGTGTGTTGAACACACCGTAGACGATCGGGTCGACGATGCCGGTCAGAGCCGTATTCAATATGTCACTGGTATCCTCTGTGTTCATGAAAACACGTTGAGAAATGTGTTATTTGCGATCATTGGATATCCACGAATTATATTAAAACACGGTATACATACGGATCTCGTCAAAATAAAACGGATATTCGCCGGGGATGGAACAGTTGAGCCGAGCTTTCAGGAACGATGTCCATCGATCCCTATACGAATGCGGACCACCTTTATCGTGTTTGCAGACTCGGGCCACTCGCGAATAAATAGTCTGAAAATTCGTRATTTCATTGTATAATTATTATATAAGTACTAGCTGTTATTTCCCGTGCGTATATATATTAAGAAGTATATATTGTTTACTTTTCCGCAGTTTATGTATTCGACGGCGATTTCTCTGAAGAAGAAAAATATGTAATCTTTATATTCCAACGAACTCACGAAATTCGGATCTAGAAAAATTTAATAAATACATGGCGGTCATTACTATGTTTGGTCTTATTTGAATGTATCAKACGTGCTGGCAGTCGTGTGCATACCGTTCAGTTGTTTGAAGTCTAGTCGTTCAGTCCGCATCGGTTCTTTGTATACGAGTGGRTCGCTTCCGGAAAAGTCGGCCACGGTTCCCGAGTACAATTGGTCGCCGGCGTAAATGGACGTGCTGTTGTGCAACGGGTCGTACGGACATCTACCCCGTCCGTCCATTTCTTCTGCACCTTTGGTGCCATCCTATGCCAAAAAAAAAAAACCATCGTTATTATATTGGCTACACGTGATGCGTGAAAACGATTTATTWATACATGTTTATATGTATGTACTGTACAAACGAATTACGACTTACGGTCAAATTGAATATTTTGCACATAGGATGAAAAGCATTGGTTCCACACACAAACAGTTCTTCGTCGTTCTTTTTGTAYGCAACTCTTATGTAGTTTTGGCAATCGTCCTAAAACGAGATATACAAAAAAATGTAAAAAAAACTGGATTGGGTTGGGCAGAGTGGTTAGACAAAAATTATAATGATAATTAATCATATGGAAAAAATTATTATTCTACCTCCGATTTGCCCTTCAACTGACACATTTCATAATTCGCTTCTGAAGAATTCCAATAGTACCTCTGAAAAAAAGTTCATCATTTAAGACATGCATGATAGATTTATTTGTTTTTTCACGATTAAAAATATTATATATTTTGGTTTATTATTTTGTGTGAACTAGAACAACGTMTCGAAAACAATTAGGCGGAAGCACATTTCATTTGGGTCGATTATTCAATCTTAAACCTGTCTTGTAATTAAAACTAGACACTAAAGGAAACGTATTTAATAACAAACGTACCTTGTTACAGAGACTTTGTTGCGACGGTCTTATAKACATATTTATCAGTGTCTATGGTATAATAATATTATACAATATTTTTGCTACGACGACTTAAGATAAGTCATAATGTAAATCGCATTCAGTTTTATTCATGATTAAAATTAAAAGATTTAATACTTAATCTGAAACCTTAATTAATTAACCTATCTACAATATATTACGAATTACGRTAAAAAACATTAATATTTGATAACAAAAACACGCGTTTCATTAACAAATGGAGACCACGCGTGTATACATGATATTATCGTACGTTTTCGTACGTTTTCGTAATCTAGTTGAGAAGCACGTATGGAGTAATGGCTCACTGTAGCAGCAAGTAGGTACAGTTGAAAATATATGTAGGTACACAATAATGATYATAATAACAATAGATAATTTGAGAACGTGTACACGTGTTTTATTAACTAATTAATTAACAATGAGAAACCGAACACCGTTTGCGTTGCGGAAACGGAAATTCGATTCCACGGGAACAAAAAAAGATAATATAAAAACGCACCGCGAGAAAAATAAAACACCGCTATATAATAATATAATGCATTATACTGAAGTTATAGTAGTTATCGGTCATTTATAACTTTTAATGTATCTATAAAATAATAATTATATAAATATAAATTCAACATTATAGCACGATAGTTTGARGAAAAAATGCGGCACCATTAAAATAAATAAATWGTAATAATAAGAATATAATTGTATTCTGAAAGACATATTGAAATGAGACATGGCCGTGGACCGGTGCTYGTTCTCGGCTGGTTTTATTTTCGTTGTCGTTTGGGACAGAAAAAATAGGGTAACGGGTATTATTATAACGCGTGTGCGTTTACGCATAATATACATATATATATAAGTATATGATTATATATGTATATAAACTAGCTGTATATATATAGTCGCCCACCCGTCGGACGACGCTTTCGGTATAGGACGAGCGCGCACACCCCTTTTTTCACATAATATAATGTACGCGCGTTTTGTTCTACGYGTATATATATAACCTGCCAGACTAGGGTTAAAAATAATTGAACKAAATTAAACACAGCGCAGATATATGGTATGCACACGGGATAACACATTTAACAGATGATTTTCGATTTACGTATAAAAATATACAAAATAAATACGTATTCGAATAATGAAATCGAGTTACGTGAGTATACAGTAAGCATAAGTACTACATAGGTAGACTACTAGAGCTTTAAGACATGAGGGGGAGCTAGAGTACTGACATTTTTGATAACAATATAAGGCAGTCTCCTTTAATGTTAATCTATAATTAATACCTACTACACCAATTAACATAGTTTTACCCGAAGRATACAAATAAATAAAATAAAATTATGGTACTTATATATATATATGAGTAACACTAGACGATATCAATAATGTTGATGATAAATATATTAATATGAACTCGTAATAATATCTATTTATGATAAAATAACAGATATGGTGTTCGACTTTATCAGGAGGGAATTTTTTATCAATCAAAATAAATTTCACATGTAAAGAGAAACCACCCAAGAGCATTATAGATAATAATACACTATAATTTTCTTTCTCTCTTTCATAAAATAGACCATGACCTCACATAATGTGTTGATATATAATCAGGGCCTCTCCATATCTTTAGTGTCGCAATTATTGACGTTATTTTATTTAATAGTCTTGAATACTCTGTAGTCCTTTAGATAATTGTATACTAACTATTCGACTGTTGTGATGCCTTAAATTGTATAAAGGCAAAATGTTTCTTGGATATTTTTCGTATTCAGTTTATAGTTTGTTTAAATATGACTGCGATTGCAACAGTAATATAAAATCTATAACCTATAGATTTTCACAAAATGCAGATATATTTAAAAAAAAAATATTTAGTATAGAAAATCAATTTAAAATACGCTTGTACGAACATCATAAAATTACTATCGATTGAGATTGATGTATATATGTTTTTGTTTGAAGTATATAGTTATAATTTATTTTCTAAATATTTAAGTTTCGGGAACTGAGCAACTGATTGAATATTTTTTGTGCTAGTTTCTAATAAACATAAAATGTATTTTTAAAATAATTATATAACTGAAGAAAAAATAAAGTTAACAATATTAATATTATTATGATTTAGTCCCAGAGTTACGTCTCTGAGTCGGCGAATACTCGCAATAATATGTTAACGGTAAACCTGATTTTAAAACATAATATTACAATTTATGCATACCATATTAAAACGAACACTACATATGCTATRCGAATAGATGAGGTGCAAACAATATCAATATTGTTATTGAAAAGGATTTAAAAAATACAAATTATATACACCAGTTGAAAATATTGTTCTCTTTTCGTGACATTACCATAATATAATACTCCAATTCATATACTTAAATATATCACGTATAAGATGTTTGTCATACAATAATATTATATATTATATGTTTACAGATACGAAAACTAAATACGTGGCAGGTTAGAACATGGATATTGGATAGGTTATATGATCAATAAATTCAACATTATGATGATCTAAAATTATTGTAGGGTTGTTTTTATACGACTATAAGTAATTAGCATAACTATACTGTAAAGTTGTAACTAGGTATATAATACAATAGGTCTGTCTTGATGACTTAAGCCATAGAAGTTCGTACACACCCTTTTGGTTTATGTTTACTTATTTAATTTACGTTAAGTTTACCTACTTTACGTACCTATATAACATGTTGAAACAGAATTAAAAACAAACAACACGCTTATAAGTTTTACAATAAGATTACTTTAAGGTCTTCATAAAAAATACGTTGTAAACAGATCACAAAAGTTAAATTTACGTGGTAGAAAAGTAAAACAAATAATTATTTTCTGTGGGCTAAAAAAAAATCCAAAAAGAAACCTCAACTCAAAATTCATCTTGCAGATAAAAAATTAAAGTTATGATAATCCTAACGCGTGCAGCATACCTACACTACATACTTCAAAATTATATAGTTTAACAATTCCATCGAGTCTTGTCTGCATAAAACGAACATAAATTGTAAGTTTTAAAATTATTTAAATTTTCAAAGGAATCTTTATTTAGAATAGTTACATAAATAAAAGGTCAAATTTTACTTTAACACGTACCTACTTAATTCAAATACGAYGAAACCTTTAATCTTATACTGTTTTTGGTACAATTTAAACATTTCAACTTCGATGTTTTTACCTCTTCATCTTTTAAATAGAGAATTGTTACACAAACCTACTCTGCAAGGTACTAATAACATTACCGATATTCATGAAAACTGTTGTGGATATGCATTAACCGGGCAATTGAAATTATAATTTATTAGAAAGCGGCTTGTTTCCAAAACGTTAGTCATGCCTACATAATATTAGGTTTATATATTTATACTATGCAATCCATACGCAGYAGACGTTTAATTCGTAATTTACTACCAGAGCCCATCAATCATAAAATGTGTTGTCACATTCAAAATACTACCGGTCTGCCCACAATGTCTGTCGCGCAAGTTAAGTTTATTTTTATTTTCTTATCACACAGTCATTCAACAGTTTTTTTTTTTGTCAACGGGAATCGCATAAGGTAAAAATATACGGTCATTTACATTACTTTCATTTCAAAACTATGACATCAGAATCTACCGGAAATTCTATCCATAAAAAGTATTATTATTAAATTATAATAATAATAGTAAAAATAAAAACATTTCCCTYGAGGCGTTTAATAACACGCGTGTACATTATCATGTATAYACGTGCAATCTTAATAAAACTCTACTGTTAGTTTAAGCGAAAACCGTAGCTGATAATTTGTTCATCAAAAGCATTTAAGCCCTCCCAGCGGATTTTCGGACACAACACCTTACACCACCCAGTATGACCCTGAGGTCTAATTGGTATTTAACAAGGATATTTTAAATGACCCAGTGGTACTACTTATAATGCCATATCTCCCACTCTTATTCTTTCTTTCCACTCCCTAGGTCCTTCGTCGTCGAGCCATTAATTAGAAGGACAATGTARCGTTTCTTCGAAATACATTCAACACCTAGATAATAATTATTTTTATATTGTTCAGGAGATTTTGCGAAATAACCAGAACATGCTAACACGCTAGTGAACCCAAACAAAAGAAGGCCCACACGTGCCCTACTCTTTCACCAATACCGCTGTTTTCCATTGTTATTGATTAAACTATTACTTGCCTAGGTATTTATTAATTATGTATTTTTGGACCATAACAATAGAAAGAAAAAAATGTGAACACGAGAGAGTAAAAAATGATTATTTTTCTTAATCATAATCTAATACAAGTGAATAAGATTGTATACAACGTAATCAATGCTGCGAAAATTCATACAGTACAGGTACAATAATAGATTAATTTATAAATAACCAACTAAACTTTATCAATGAAAATTAAAATGATTTAAAAATTATATTATATACGTCAAATAAATTACTCAATAGAGTCTAAAAAAGCTAAAGGTAAAACATACAATATTCATTGTAAATAGTTGTTCTTGAAACAAATTTTTGAACAAATTAAGTCAGAATTTGAACGTCTAAATACGATACCTAGTACCTATGTGTGAGTTGAAAGTAAATATGTTGTTTATATTATCGAAGAAGGTATGAAAAATAAAATGTTGTTTTTAAAACAAACCTATAGGTACTTACTTATATGATYGTTTTATTTTTTAATTCAAGAGAATAAACATTAAATAGTTTAGAAGTTTRTAGTTTATTTTCAACATGATATCTTTGAATGTTCAAATTATCCACAATGTGTAACGTATTTTATCATTTCTTTACTTTAATGWAATAAAACTGTTGTTTATTAAGTTTATCACAAGAATAAATAAATGGATTACTGTGAGTCAGAATTTGAGAAGGATTATTACATATGTGAGCCCAGTGAAATCCCTTTATTATACTTATTATGGATGAACACTGTACAATAAAATGGGTTGGATTTTCTTTAAAAAAAAATATTAAAGAAAGCAAATACATAAAATATATCTGGTAATATATTATACTATTCTCTTATCTTTTAATAGTTTAAAATTTTTCAAACCCGAAATAAGCTGATCGCAGCTGTAAAATATTATTCTTCTTTAATTTTCACTACGTTAATGGAAAATATCTGTCGGTTTCATAAGATTTATAACTAGTTTCAAAATGTATAACCGTTATGAAATAAGGATGATCCATAATAAATAAGTTATCTGGAGGGTATTATATGATCAAATCAAGATGAACAAATATCACCCACAGAAGTGTCTAAGACAAAATATTGTATTGCAAAAGAAAAAAAGTGGACAMAAAATTAAGTAGCATTTAAATTATTGATTATAAATATTATAAATTATAATGATTAAAAATTACAATAACGCAACCTTGGGCTCTTCGAGTATTGCTCATGGAGTAGGTGCCATCRTAATAATAATATTATACTTTTTTCGAAATCAAAATACTTAATAAATAAAAACCTGTTATTTCTTAATTTTAAAAACAAACTTTTACATATTACGAGTACCTACCTATATATGTATACGTAATATGGATATATACGATTGGTAAATTTGATATACAACTGGTTTTGAAAATTACCGTAAACCAGCTATTATGGCAAAAAATTAAATAAACGCCCTTAGGTACTATCAATATATGCGATTTATAAGTCTTTTAGTACCCACATATACGTAAGAACTGTCTACGCACTTGTATATTGACGATGTAACGTCGAGACCATTTATTTATATTATTCAGATGACATATATTCGCTGTATTATTATTCAGTTGGTGATTCGGTATTTATGTACTACGACGTAGTAGTTGGTAAAACGATGTTTCCGGCAGGTCACTCTATAACATGACGATTCGAGTCAACTGAACGGCCAAATCCGTTATATAGCCGGTCAACATGAAATACATTTCAAATTGAAAAAGTAAAAGAAAAAACAGTGCATTTATACATACACCGGTTTACATATTATATACCCATATATATATATATATATATATATATATATTATACGCATACGAATGGGAGGACGACTTAAAGAAAATATCGTCTTAACCGCATATTATGTATACCTATATATACACTGTTTCGTTCGAGGTGACCAAACCAGACAAGAGTACAAAGAACTCGAAGCAACGGACCGGAAAAACAATTCCAAAACGCGTCGAACTTCACTATATATTATCAATGTACATATTATTATTGTATATACTCTACGACTGTGGCCACCGGTTTGATATATTAGTCTGTCCAAACTATTGTTTAAATACAAGTCTTAACGTTATTTAGTAGCTGCACAATAAAAATACATCATATACGTTATATACCTACATTACACCCTATTTTACGGTGAAACTAAATATAACGAAAATTAATTCACTCACGTGATTTTCCTTCATGGTGTCCAAACTGATGTTGTAAAGTACATTTCTGAAATTAAAAAACTTTCAATTATTTCCTGCACGCCATTATAATAATGTATGCGAAAGGCTATGTGACACGGAAAAATATAATAAAATTAAATCACCTCAGAGTGCGATTTTTCGATATACATTATTGATAAATGAATAGTCATTGCACAATTTGGTTTTTAAGTTTTACGTATAGTAATAAATAATTTCAATTATTGAACTGTTTAACATTTCCGATTGTACGGTTTAAAAATAATTACATACTTCTGGTATTACGTGAAAATTACGTTTGCTTTAGAATGTTAGGAAACTTATATTTAATTCAAATAATTATACAATTATAAGTATTAATTACATTACACAAACTGATCGTAAATTATTTTCAATATTTTATAAGATAAATTAACGAAAATCATAATCAAAATTCAAATACCTATAGGTTTGCTAATAATTAATTTGAAAACTATTAAACGATATGATCTTAATCGATTTAATAGCGAATTAAATTCAAGTTTCAAAACCAATTGGTTTATAATAAAACTATAAAAAACATATTAATTATTCGGTAGATTATAATTGTTGCACGTTTTTTAAATTATTTCATATAGGTACTATATACAGTTTTTTTTTGTGGAAATTAATTAGCATAATTCAACATAATTAAAATTTTATATTGTAATGAACATCTGTTTATGATGTAAAATAATAAAAATAGTAAGTAAAATTTTTGAATCAAATAAATTATAATATTTGTTAACAGTGTGTTCAAAATATTATAAGTATATTATTGAAGTATATCCCACGACATTTAATTTTTTTTTTTTAGAGGCAGAATAAATTGATATATTTTCAACTCTTAAAAAAGTCTGTGTAAGATATGTTACGAAACATCCAATAGGTCATTAAGGGAATTGAATGTGGTGATTTTCTAGCATTGTTTTATACACGCGCAACATAGGAATTTAGATGACGTTTTCTATTTTAACATACCAACTGATTCAGTAAACGATCGTTAATAATTCTAAAAACAGACTGTGATTTATTGACAAATTTACTTAACATTAGCACATTTTTAAATTTTATACAAAAATATTGAAATTTTAAAATTTTAAAGTGTATTTATAACAAAATTAAATGATAAAGCAAGGAAAGTTGATTTAAAATAGACTTGACGACAAACTCAATCTGTTGTTAGAATTCGTATCACTTTACTATAGATCAATCGATGTATCGGAAATAGTACGTATCAAAAATTCTATGTTGTGTTTTAAATAATACATTAAAAGGTAGGTACACAATTTATAACATTTCCTGAAGAATTGTMRACCGCATTGACTTTCAAATATCAAAAGATTTTAACTTTTATAGAAGTGACTTATGCGAAAATGCAGGATTAGAATTATAATATGTAGACGTAAAGTGAATGTAAACGTAAGCAAATGATTCGAGGATAGGAAATAATTTAAAAATATTTAAAAACTAAGTCAAAACTTCGAAGTCTGTGATGACAAATGCGCGACYGGAACAAAAGCATAATACAACATCAGCATAAAAATGTATAAGTAGAGCATAAATTGTTTTTTCATAGAGTTTTGWACGTAGTTTCTGAACCATGTGAATTTTTTCAAAATTCACAGACACACACTATATAGATAGATATACCTACCTCAATATGCATATAGTATATATATGTGTACATCTAAATGACTTTTAAATTATATTTATTTATACTTTCTAACGACGTTGTAGTAATGCTTGTGTTACCGACTAATAAAATTGAAACCGAATAAGAAAACAGTCAAAAAGTGTACCCACCTACTAGTATAGTATTATAATAATACTCGTAAAACATATAAATGGTTCACGGAGCATGTATCCTGTCTTAACGCCAAGTCATCGTAGGTATATTGGTTCTTTGTTTACGTTTACGGACTTATCGACCGGGTAGCCTCCACCTCCCCCTCCCACGGCAAAAAAAAAAAATCGATCCACCATAACACCTACAACCACTACGCACATATCCCACGCGTTATGACGGTGTTTTTATTAATTAGTCGTGCACAACACGGCSTGTCACGCATATGTAATAATACAAAGGGTGGAGGTAAAATAAAGTACCTGGATCCTATTAGTGCCGTCGTCTGATCTTGGAGGAGTATTTTGAAGTAGTCTGTGGCGGTCCTGTTGCCGTGAAATATTTGGTCGGAATTGAATGCGCCTGAAATACAAATTCGAAAAACTCAATATTATAATATACAATGTTTATATTATATAACAGTATATAATCAATATATAATATTTATACGTCAATATCTAAACAACAAAAGTTTCGTGTTTATATATTGAAAAAAAAAACACACACACACACACATGGAACCTTGAATGATTTACCATTACCCGAACGACCTCTTCTTAAGTGTATGTACGCCATTCATATGCAAACGAAAGACAATTTCCCTATAAATATTCTTGGGCATTTTATGAAAGTCGACTGTGATTTGCATTCGTATTGTACGCACACGCTGCTCAGAAATATAATATTAAATATATTTTTCTCCTTTGGATTATAACGTTTTATTATTTATTGTTATGCAATAATGAACCTTGGGAATACTACACTCGTAGGTATACGATCATGCATGCGGATATATATATATATATAAATTATTTACCTTGCGACGCCAATAATTTTACGTTGGCAATAAATTATTAAATCCCTGCGTGAGATCACGAAGTTTAAAAAAAAAATTATAACTCCTCCATCACCCCTATGGACCGCCTCCACCGCCAACGCGCATGTGGCCGTTAATAGTTATGTGTTTTTTCTTCTGTTATTAAATAATATGTTGTTAATCTATTGTTTTTCATCGAAAACTCTCCT